TTGAGAATAAAATTATGTATAACTTTTTGAAACTGTAGGTGAACGCTCAAACCTAGACGCGCTTTTTATTTCTGCGATAGTCAGCTTTTGCGAGATTCTACTGTATATTTATGTATTTGCTCATACGTTTGTACTTTGAGCACGTTTACAACTACATTTTTAGTTTGTAATCATTTTTGCTGACATTCAAAATGTTTCGCTTCTCCGAATATTACACAATACCGGTTCATGTAAAAACTGTGTTTTCGAAGAATTAAATACAATTGATAATGTAATGCCAACATAAGGCGGCGCTTAAATAATTAGCATTAAACCTGTATGTACGTAGATTATGTACAATACATCTAAAATAACACTATTTATAACTCAAGAGCGGCTGAACCGATTTGGCTGAAGGTTGGTGGGGAGATAGCTTAGAACCGGAAAGCTTACATATTATACTTACTTATGTATATAACAAATCCAACTGTTTGACCAGGGTAAACTCCTGAGCTACTCAACCGATTTTAGTAATATTTAGTGCACTTTGTTTACTTTAATCTGGCTTAAAAGTGAAGATAGTTCATATTTCCACTATTAGCAAAATTCTTTTTCGCTGTATCATCCGCATGGGTACCGACTCTGCAATGGGTGTCACTGCTTGTTGTAAATAAAACTCACTTCGTAAGTGTCAGATCTGAAAGGTTTAATTTCAAAACATATACTTACCTAAACTGTGTCGATAATAATATAATACTTATATATGAAACTGTTTTAAAAATGTGTAGTCTCCAACACAAATCGGCGTTGCTATCTAATATTGAAAACGCCAAGCATAAAGTCGTAACACAAGCCATCGAAGCTTTTGGGTAACGACAAGATTTTACTTTCGAGTATAAGTTTATGCATACATACATATATAAGTATAAAAAACATACATATCTTTTATATAGGCTCTCAAGTGACAAATTCATATAAACATCAAACTCCTTTCCATTTAACGGTATGCAATTCTTTGATACACTCAACTATTTATGGTAAAAAAAAACCGTAACTGAACCACTCCATGTGGGATCTTCATGTATATTTGTAATTTACGAACAATTTTAGTATGTATGTATAATTTTATTTGTTGCATATCTACATACATATATGGAATACGCTTAAGAAACGCATTCGCTCGCGTTGTGTAAACAGCAATAATAACACGTCATTCCTAACCGGTTAAGGAGGCAGCAAACAGCACTTCTGCTTTCGACAACGAACAATTTAGCAGAATTAGAGTATAATTTAATTACTTTTCGAGTGGTTTATTGTTGTGGCTAGGTTTTTCCATTTCATCTCCACGCGCGGCTTATGAATATTCTACTTACATAAGTACGTACCTATGTTATTATACCCTGAACAGGGTATATTAAGTTTGCCACAAAATTTGTAGCATCCAGTAGGAAACGTCGGAGACCCTCTGTCTGTCCGTCTGTCCAAGATATCTTGATTCAAGCGTTGCGTTAAAATATACATATTTTATCCTAAGCTAATCATGTAATAGTTTAAGAGACGTAGTGGAAATAAATACTCCCTTTTGAAAAGGAGTTATGCAACGTTTATTTGAAATCAAGTCACTTTTTCGTGCACTTCGATTTGTTTACTTTGGAATTTAAAAATTTGACGTCATAGATATCAGATGAGCGTGAAAAAAATTAAATGTCAAATACTTACATGTATTTCACTTTGTTGAATACACTTAGTGTTCAGTCATGTTTTTTAATATATTTATATATTTCTACGCTTATTCATACATATGTGTGTATGTACAAATTTTGTATATGTACTCGTTGTATGCTTCGTAGGTAAACAAAATTGTTGCCTTTTTTGTATATTGCTGTAATGAATTTGGAGACTTTTCATTGTAAGTTTTTTTTTAACATTATAAATTAATTTCCAGAACTGCAATTTCACTAAATTTGTAGCATGTTTCGCTATATTTATAATTAGTTTCTTTATTGTGAATTTTTATAAGCCTATAAATCGAATTTTCATAAATAAATGTCTCTATAATAAATTTTATTTCCACTTTTGTTTCTGAACAAAAAAGACAAAAAATATATGTATGTACATATATATACAATACATACATATGTATTCAGGGGATATCCAGACTTAAAATTTTTATGATAAAAATTATTAAACAGAATGTCATTACTAGTAATTTGTGTATAGGCAGATCGTAAGCAAAATATTCAAGCACAATTTCATCTTAAAATTATTCTATTATAAATTACGTGTTTTCTGTATAGCGAAGTGTATTTTTTGTGCACCTGAGATTCGCTATATGGAAGTTCGACTGAAACCACTTAAAAACTTATTTCTATGATAGGGACTGTTTAGTTACTAACCCTTAAAAGACACATGTAACAAATTCTCCACCTTCGCAGAATGGTTTCGTAGGACGTAGGACATTTTGAGTGATGCGAACTTTGTTTAAAAAAAAGGTAAAAAGGAATTTCATATATTAATTTAACACATTTTTACTGATAAACATATTTCTAACACCAAAAAGTGGCTTGATAAGTCTAAGTCTCCTCCATGACTGATGAAGTTCATCGTTATAATTGTTGTTTCATTGTACTAAACGAATTTGGAAAGGCTGTTCCGACACTTTAGGGGTCCTATTAGTACATTTGTTACTTGTCTGGAACTAGTATAAATAGATCGTATTTTATGAAACCTAATACAATGCATTTCCGTTTGGGAACATAATAGTTATTTTTAAATATTCAAATAAACGAACCACTTTCAATTCACAGAAGTCGCCAAGTTATTAACTACATACCATGAAATCGTCAAACATTAAAAGTTGCGATGAATTATACTATTTTGGGAAGAACTAGAGTTGTCAGAAAGAACTCTCAAATTACATCTGTATTTGCTCCGACATTTCTTTGCGTTTTTTTTCAAACAATATACTAGTGCATACACAAACATATTTATACATGTAAGAGTTATAAATCAAATTTAATTAGCTATTCCATTTCACGAATAAATCTTCTTTCAATTACGTGTAATTATAAGTATCATTTTTAACCTGTACAGAAGTAGGTGGTAACCATCACGAACAATTAATTATTTAATATTGATGATGTGGAATTTTCTAATCTCTTGAGCATATGCTAATGGAATACCTATGTACATATATTTTTTCAGCATCAATAAAGAGTGAAACGACTCTCTGATGTCCGCGTCTACGTCCCATCTAAAGGTTGTGTTCGAAAGTACGTATCGGTCGGAATAATAATCGGTCGACTATATAATAATTTAATATACCTTAACTCCAATATAACGAATATCATAAATATTCTTGAGGAAAAACAGTCCTTGACCGGTCAAAAATCTGGCTTCAAATAATGGAAACCCAACGGTGATTGAAATCTAAACTGAAAATCATCGTACATCCAGTTGACTTTATACCTATGGTATAAATCAATAGTTAATTTTGATACTACTTTAACGGAAAAAGTATACATACATATACATACATATATACTGTGATCAAAAATAAGGTAAGGTGCTTATCGTGGTGTGATGCACTATGAATTTCTACCGCCGGGCCAAATTGTTAAGAAAAAAATATTATTTGAACGTTAGGCGTCGTTTGTGTCAAGCTATTCGACTAAATCAGTCGAAATTATGGGCAACTCTTGGTTCTTTGCGCGATAATGCACCATATCATACTGCATTGATTTTTCGCGACCTTTTCGCTATGCAGCAAACTCAAAAAGCCGATGCGGGGATGCCGTTTTGACATGATTTAAGAAATAAAAACCGAATAAAAGACGGTCTTAAATGCTGTACTGAAAAAAAAAAACTATTCCGGCTGTTTCGAGGACTGGAAAAAGGGTGTTTTATCGAACCGGGATTATCTAAAAAGGGATGAAATAAATTTGCAAGAATAAATAAAAAAGTTAACATTTTAAATAAATGCAGCTTACTTTTTGATCACATACTACATATGTATATAGAATTTTGTATAATATATATCTGATTATAAACACCTCAATTAGTATATGTGGTCATCTATTGCAAAACATTGCTAAATTGTTGAGTCATTAGGTGTAAATTAAAACACATTAAGACAAAAATTCAGTGAAAGTTGTAAGCGTTTTTTAATTGAATACAGATAAGATATAATGACATCATATTCTAAAATAAACATTATAATAAAATTTAATATTTGGAATTATGAAGTAATCGTTAATGCATTCGATTAATATGCACCAATTGAAATAATATTAAGGAGTCATAACTGCCTAAGATCAATTGGCGAAAACCTTATTATAATTCTTATTCATTACCTCTCACCTCGATGATAAGTTGTGCTCTTATCCATTATTAAACCCTTATAAGTTGCCACGCAGTTTGTAACACCCAGAAGGAAATGGCGGTCCTATAATGTATATACTTATGTACATATGTAAATGATCAACGTGATATGCTGAGTGTATTTAGCCATGTCCGTCTGTATATATGGGACATAGTCCCTTAGTTTTTGTTATGTTATTCTCCACAAGATGATGCTCATTGGAATCGCCACTATAGGATATAGCTGCCATACAAACTACGATCAAACTCAAATTCTTGTATGGAAAACTTTTTTATTTGGTGATATATCTTCACGAAATCTGGCATAGAAATTAACTTTCTCTTGTTTTTCTTTTCAAACGAGTAGCAAAAATTGATCTACTCTAATAAAAATTCCTTATTGATATCTAACAACATTTTGTTTTGAAACACTTCTGCGTTTTTTTGAAAATTCTTCTTTTAGCCTCTTTGCACACAAATAGAACAGTTTGAGTTGTGGCTATATTCATACATATGTACTTATATATTTAGATATTTTCGCGCGTATTAAACATGTTGTCGCTCTTTTACAAGCAAGCGGTGCTTATCATAACCAAGACGAAATATTTCTACACATCCCATTATAAAACAATATATAATATGTATTTGTATTTATGTTTCAGACAACTCTCATTCGATATGTGGAAGATTCTATTGGTTTGCATTGTCGCAGTTTTCGTAATGAACGCGGACGGAGGTACAGAAATTAAATCGCAAAGGCGACATCAAACTAGACTAAAATCTTCTATTCCAATAGCACGCAATAACAAGCGATATGCCGGCGGATATGCAGGTAGTAGCGCTGGCAGTTATGCTGGAGCAGGTGGTAGCGCCGGAGGCTATGGCGGTGGTTATGACGATTACGATTACGGATATGCGCCCGATTTTGGTTTTATAGATCCATACTTATTCCATCAACAGCTGACTGCGCAAATTCTTGCCAATCAGGCCACACAACATCAGTGAGTAAACGTCTCTTATTTTCTCACAAAATATAGCTTGAAAACATACACAATATACATATATAACTCTTTACAACATATTTACATACATGTGTATGACTGCTTTTTGTTGAAATGGTTTCCTGGTCTCTAACAAATATGCTTTGCTAACTAACTCTCTCATCCATTGAAAGCTCTTTGCTCTATGTATTTTCTTAGCGCTATTGCTTCGGTTTATTCTTCCGGCCAAGCTATGGTCACTGCTGATGCATCTCTTTTGCCTGACGATAAGTAAATAACATTATTTGTATAACTATGAGGACAGTTTGATAAGTAAATGATGTAAAATTTTGTGCATTAATAACTTCGACTAAAACAGCGCTGAACGACATGATCCTCTATTTTTAAGTAAGATACCATTACAGAGATCCAGAAATGACTGATCCAATATTTTAAAGTAGAAGTTAGTTTGGAACTTCGTGAGTTGGTTATGCAATTTAATCATTTTTGTTATTATATTCTCGCAACAGGTTGATACAGAGTAAAATAGTTTTGTTCGCCAATTGTTGGTATAACATAAAACTAATCGAGATAGATGTAGAGTTATATATAAACATAGAAAGAGAGAGTTATATATAAACATTGAAATCCGGGTGACTGTATATCAGTCCGTCAGTTTGTCTGTGCAATAGCTTGTACAAAAATTTAAATATTGTCATACAACTTTATATACGGGTTCCTTGGTATATAGGGTATTGTAGATGAATGTTGTCACGCCCACAAAAGCATTAAGCTTTTAAGTCATATAACTAAGCCCCAAAGAGGATATAAGATATAAAACTGGAATTTGTTATAGGAGATCGCATTAGTAAGGCACCTGTGATCTGAAAATTTTGTATAAAGTGTGAGTATTTCCATCTCTATATCATCTAATTCTTTAAAGTACATATTTCCGAAACCTCTAAAGCTATATCAACCAAACTTGCTGAGAACGAATCCTTTCAGCACCACCTCAGACAGTGAAAACGGGTGAAATCAGATATTAATCTCGGATAAAGGGCGAGGCATTGCCTACTTTTAGGTAAATCCTATATCTTAGGAACTACTCGACCAATTTAAACCAAATTTAGTACATAACACTATTCTGATATCCTGATCCTACTGTGTGAAATCACTTTCCCCTTCCATACTTATTTAATATAAAGGCAGCACCTGAAAGTATTTCCCCAGCTTCGATTCTGAACTTAGCCATTCCTTGCGCATTTGATTTTTTCGATAGTTGAATAAAGATTCCTAAACTATAAGGATCGTCATATTTATATAATTTCAGAAAATATCCTTCGCAAAATTATAGTTTGCGCAGAAACTAATTTTCCCACAATTTCATTGACTCACCAAGCTGTCCTCAACAATTGATGAATTAAAATATTTATAAATCATATTTTTTAATTGTAAAATTTTACTAACTGTTATTTCGTTCATATATTACCTCAGACGTATTCAGCAACAAATCGCTCAACAACAAGCTTACTTCCAAAATGCTTACCCTCCCACCTACTATGGTGGTGGCAATAGGTACGGAACAACAAATCGTTACGCACCCAATCATGCTATCGCTGCAGCATCCATAGGACCTGGTGGATCTTATCACACTGCCAATATCAGTCCAGCAAATCCGGTAAGTGAAAGTTAAACAAGCACAATTCTATATGTTAAAATTACTGTGATTTTCTTCCAGGATGTTCCGAATATAACCAATCGTTTTGGTGGACCATCGTCACCGGGCGGCTACAAAGGTGTTTCGGTTAGCTCTTTTTCGAGTAGCTCAGACATTAATGGTCAGAAGTCAAGTCAGCGTGGCGCACAGACCACAATCAATGACAATGGCAAAATCACCACATACAGGGTGCAATCTTAAATTCTACGAGATACTTATAATATATTTTTTTTATATTAAATATAAAGCAATACACTATAAGTATTTATTATTAATTGTGTAGCTTTGTAGAGAAATATTTGTGAATGTATCTTATTGGGGTAGCTTTAAGCTTCAAATCATTATTTATGTCGGGCAGTCTTGAAATACACATACGTACATTGTGAAAAAAGTATTTTTATGTCATAGGTACATGGTGCATATTACTCTGGCCTATTCTATGTATTTAGTAAAGTTGAAGCGATGGCTGTAAACTAACTTTTGATCTATGCAGGAAGCAATATTAAAAAACCAATTTTTGTTTTACCAAAAGTATTTACTCAATAGAATAGATATAACTTCCAGTTGACTTTATAGCACATACTATGTCGGCCAATATGCAGTGATGGACTTACGCCTAGACCCGTGAGGCCCGGGCTTAGGGCGGCAAAAATTTTTCAAATGCCAGAATTTTAGAGGCGAAAAAAAGTAAAGACAAGCAATTTCAAAAATTGGTTCAGATTAGTTTTTATAAAAAAATTTGTATTCAGAATAAGCTATTGTACTACAACAAATTTTCAGTGAAGTGCAATCTGCTAAGTATTTTTGTAGATTTTACGCCTGATATTGCACATGTCGATCAGCTTACTATAATTATCAGATATGTACGTGATAACTTGAAATTGTTGAAAGGTTTTTAGAAAGATATTGAGGATGATTGTAAAAATCTCTAGAAAATAATGGTTTGGACATAATGAACTAACGTGACCAATCTTATAATAATGCACGAATCAAAACAATTAATCTTTTAGCAGATTACGTTCCTTGTGCCGCCTATTTCTTAAATTTGGTAGGATCATGCGCAGTTGAATCGGTAACGGAAGCAGTCGACTTCTTTTCTACTTTGCAAGAACTATACAGTTTCTTTACTATATCTACACATCGTTGGGAGATTTTGGTACACCGTACAAATTTAAGAGTTAAGAGTCTTTCTCAAACTCATTGGTCTGCCTCGACATCCATCATATGTTACGCATTAGAAAAAGAGTGGTATGCAATAATTGATGCACTGGAATTTATTGCCGAAAGCAGAGATGAGAAACCGACTACGCTATCTGAAGCTACGGGATTGAAGTGAAAATTATAGTATTTAGAAACAGCAATCCTAATCACCGTTTGGAATATTATTTTAGATCGTTTCTATGCTGCTAATAAGAAGCTTCAAGATATCTCAAGTTAATTTATTATCCGTTGTTAAAATCTATAGTTCTCTGGTTCTATTTCTTCAAGACATGAGAGACAGACAATTTTCTGTAAATGAAGAAAAAGTTATAGGTGAGTCATGGGTAAATGAAAGAACATATTTTTCTGGGCAAGAAATTTTTCGCACAAATGTTTTTTACCCTACTCTAGATAGTTTGAGTGTACAATTGGCCGGGCGTAAAAGTGCATATGAAAAGCGTTACGAAAATTTCAATTTTTTTGATGATTTATCTGAGAGAGATACAAACGAATTGGAAATCTTACCAATAAACGAGTCAGTAAGTATCTTGACGATTTGGAAGAGACGTTAGGCAATGAAGGCGGCAGCAAGCCTAAATCCGTCATTGCCAATATGAAAGTTATTTTAATGAAATTAAGAGAGCGTGTTTTTATAATAAGAGTGTATTTTTGTGCGACAACTTGCCTTAGCCCCCATATGACTGATATTCGGGATTTTGAAACGTTCGGCTGACTTTACTCCATATATATACATAATTATTGTATATATAAAATAGTTTGAAAGTAAGTTCTCAAGTATACCTGAGCAATGTCAAAAATTAATGCAATCAGCCCTTCCATTTCTTTGCCCCTAAAGAGTAGAGAGTTTGTGTAATATTCGCTGATGAAAAATAAAGTATAGTAATAAATCTAAGGGAGGCTATAAACTTCAAAATAAGTTAATATGATACCAAAATTGATCGCAATCCATTGAAGATTTCATCGAACAATGAAATTGAACCCTTTCGATACATCTTTTGATATTACCAACAAGTTGAAAGAGTAAATAATGTTCGGTTACACCCGAATTTAGCCCTTCCTTACTTATTTTACTATATATAAAAAAATTTTTTTAGATTTTTATTATATCTCCCATTTAAGTTATATCACCCAAATTTGCAGGGAACAAATCCTTTCGACAGCTCTTACGAACGTGTGAAAACGTTTAAATCGTGCGATAACTCCGCCCACTCCCCATATAATGGTTTAGTTAAAAACTACTAAACGTGCGATAAATCTTCAGAGAAGTTAAATTTTTCATCCGTGATGGTACAAGAAGGCTTTACAGCAGCCGATGTCAAAATTTGACGTCGAACGTAGCACAGCCCACCTTTCACTGAAATCACATATCTGCGACCTACTCCACCAATTTCAACTTAATTCGGTAGATAACAACATTCTGACATCCCTATATTATATTGCGAAAATGGGCGAAATCGAACTATAAATACGTCTTTTTCCTATATAACACAACTATATACATATCGGCCAAAATGAAAGTTATCTAAACAAAAGAGCGTATTTTTCTAATAACAATGCATATTTGCACTTAAAGTGGTTAAAAATTGGCTAAAAACTTGCCCTAGCCGCCATATAACTAATATCAGGATTTACAAACATCCGGTTGACTTTAGCCCTTATATATTGGTGATGGTATGTGATGTACCTTAATGAAACTCTGAGGGTATATGCCGAATATGTCGGTCAGCGTATGAGTTGGTATATATTTGTATGTATTTAAAAAATTGCTAGAAAATATCTTCTCGAGTTCAAAAAGTTGGTGCAATTAGTCCAGGCCTTTTTCTGCACTCAATATACTCTACTAGTTATTTCCGACTTTCAACCTGATTTAAAAGCATTTCATGAATTCCGATCCGCTGGTTGAACTTTTCCACAACAACATAATATATTAAATTTGGCTTCCTCGGTTGAGTTTTTACGTGTATAACTGTAAATATATTTATCTCACTTGATGATGGTTTTAATATAAATTTAACTGATGCGAAGTAAATATAAAATATAGCAATAAAACTATGTGAGTTTATGACCTATAATATAAGTAAATACGATACCAAATTTCATTGTAATCTATTCACGATTTCGTCGAACAATGCATGCTGAATTCTTTCGCAACATTTTGTAGTATAAAGGTTTTCCCAAAACCTGAAGGAATTTCCCAGGCTTTTATCCCTTTAGATTGCAATCCTTGCCAGTACTATCGGAAGACAGAACAACTATACTAGGTTAAATTATTGAGCTATAATCTTATGAGTTCATGAATCTTCATATAAATCTATATGTATCTTCTTATAAAGCTATATGCATGTGTGCGTAGACCATAAGCGTAGTCGTATCAATGAAATTAGCCATATTTAAAAATAACAACTGATAGAGCAGAATATAATAAAAATATGAAAAAATTCGTCTCCTAAAAAGCGTTCGACATATTATTATTACCGATGGTATATAAATGCGTATTTGCTATGTATTTACAACATTCATACATATTATATGTATGTAGTATGTATTATACCTATATGTACTCTCGTTTCCGCTGATTTATTTTTATTTGTTCAAACGAAAGTCAAGGCTTTCGTTTATTATCAATTTTTGAATAAGTAAATAAATAAAATAGCATTCAGTTACCTACAGACAAATAGTAAAGTTATACGATGTATACAATTATTCTAAATTAGTTCCAATTTTCATCTTTCATTGAATATTTTCGTCTATTTTCGACAAAAGAATGAACTTTTATATTGTAATTGGTATCGACCATCTTTTGAAAATCTTAGAATCAGCGTCCGGAACTTCCTCTGGGAAACATACGGTTTTGGGCAGATTACCTGAAAATTATACATAATTATGTTAAAAGGTTATTTTTGGCAAATAAGCGTTTTAACTAAAGCTAAGGATAACATTTCGTTGAAATAGAAATCTTTGACGCAAAAAGTTAAGACAATGATCTATGATACTGCTGCTACGGGACGCTGACAACCTTGATTATATAGGCAGAGCTTTTACTGTATCAAATTTCGTTGCACTTTTTCAATTCTTCATTAATTATGTACTGTCGCTCACAAGCCTAAGGAATGGCTGATAAGCCTCACCATGACATAAATATGCAGAAGGTTGTCATTGATTGCAGAAGGAGCATTGTTGCTAGATACATATGTATACCTTTACGTACTTATATGTCGAATGCATTAAACAGACAGAAATATTCACCGAATCCGGTTAAGATCCACAGTCAAAGGTTTCGCATATCTTAAATGATACCACTTATAATTTTTTTACATTGCCTGAAAAATCGCATCCAATTCTAAGTACATAAGTTGAATAAATAGAAGTTGATAAATACACTTTCAGTATTGGTCTTTATTTTCTATATATAGAAATATTTCCTCTTGTTTGCTATAATAATAAATAATATCTAACGTCTTAGTTTAGCACTATTTGGATGTTAGAATCTACATTGTCGATCCTGGGCAGAGAAGTGAAGTTGGCAAATGTAGTAAATTAATGACGTTGAAATACAATATATACCGTCAGTTCAGAAGAGAATGAAGGCACGAGAGCACAAATTTTTGGAAAAATCATCACGTTGTAGTATGCTTCAACTGATGACTCAAAATATATCAATAAATTTTCAATTCTGGAATCCTGACCATGCAAATTTATGCATAAGTTTTAAAAAACTAGATTAATTCGCTAGCAAAGGCCACATATATTTTAAATAATTATAAGCCAAAATATTGCTACAACTGAGTTTTTAAGCAATGCTAATTAACTTTTTTTTAATTTTAATTAAACCAAATTGTTAAATTTGAATATAATATTTAATTTTTACCTTATACTTTATAAAAGGTTCTTAAGAAATCTTTAAGCAAATATCGTAATCTAAAATGCAAAATAAAGTATCAAAAAAAAACAAAGTATTTTAATTACTACGCTGTTCTGGTTACAGTGGTTTTGTTACCGTAAATATAAGACCGATTTTAGATGCATTGGTTTATAATACCCTCTCGTTCTTTATACCCTGAACAGGGTACATTAAGTCTGCCACGATGTTTCTAACACCTAGAAGGAAACGTCGACGATCCTATAAAATGTAACTATATCTAAATGATGAGCATGATGAGCTAAGTTGATTTAGCCATGTCCGTCTGTATATACCCGAACTATTCCCTCAGTGTTTGAGATATCGTTCTGAAAATTTTCACACATCCTTTCCTCCCCAAGAAACTGCTCATTTGTAGGAACCGATGGAATTAAAACAATATTCTTCCAAG